GGGGGGGTGTTGTTATAATTTTGTTTTTCTGTCTTCAGAAAGTTCTGTTTTATTTAATACATAACGTATTAACATGCTTTAAAATTTTAAGTTATTAGAATTACAAGCTGAGGGTTGCTTGCAGCCAAGCTTAGAGATAAAAGTACCTCATTTTGACTTCACAGAAGAACTGAATTTAGAATATACACACACACACACACACCCCATTTCTGTTTGAGAAAACGCCTTTCCAAGAACACTCAGCTTTGAGAACACCAAAGATAAATACTGTTCTTTACTGTCGGTCAGGCTCAGTGGGTCCACCTCTTGGTAGTATGACAACCACTATAGGTCACACTTTAGCACAAGTTGTGGCTTAGGAATAAAAACTTACCGTCCTGTAAAATCTTCCCTCTAAAAACTGCTTACATTTTCATATTAAGGAATCTAGTGCACTTGTTAGATACAGAAATATTTTATAGTACATCTAAATAATAAAAAAAAAAAAATTCTGAAGAAGCCCCCCAGATTCCAGCCTGCAGAATTCCACAGATAGTCCTGTTCATTACTCCAGAAATACTTGAGCAGTGGCTTCAGAATACTGCATTTTAATGTGGAAATGTTAAGATAGCTCCTCCAAACAGATTCTCTGTACAGTAATCGGTGCTCTTCTTGCTCTTATATGGTAATACTGAGTGATACTCAAAATACTCAGGGAAAAATCAATCTGCCATCTGAATTTTAATTTTTAAATTTCTACTCACTGTAGTGAAATACTACTACTCACTGAGTAGAAATAATTATTATTAGTAGAATAATAATTATTTTTTTATCTCAATTTTTAAAATTGACCTGTTTGAAATTCTTGTGTTATTTTTCCGGAGATCTCGCTATATAATACCAAATAAAGTACGATTAAATAGTCTCAGGGTTTTTTGTAACACGGTTTTACACCCTGGAATTGTCTTCTGCATAGCTTTAAAGAATGCTACCAATTACTAAAATGGTAATCTAAATTGCTTGCACAAGTACTGCAGGTTTTTGGGGGGGTGAATGAGGGAGTGGGAATTACAATTCTTTTTATGATGCTGTGCTAAGTTTTCTTCTTTGCCTCAGTAATGAATTTATATGTTATCAGGAAAGAGTTGCTTATAGAAGTGTCTGCGCATTGATTGCTTGGTGGCTGGTTGCTTGGGGTTTTTGTGTTTTGTTGCTGGTTGTTGATTTTTTTAAATTTTCAAAGTAGAAAAACATTTCAAGTATTTTCAAAATAATATAAATGAATCTTTGTTTTTAGCCTCTTCTGAAGCAGTCGCCCTGGAGCAATCAGAGTAGCGGCTGGAGCACAGGAAATATATCCTGGGGAGGAATGCATGGCAGAGACCATCGTAGAACTGGAAACATGGGAATTCCAGGAACTATGAACCAGATCTCTCCTTTGAAGAAGCCCTTTTCTGGTAATGTCATAGCTCCTCCTAAATTTACTCGCTCCACTCCATCACTGACACCAAAATCGTGGATTGAAGATAATGTTTTCCGAACCGACAACAACAGTAATACTCTTCTTCCTTTGCAGGTAAGGATGGCATGTAACTGATGTGTTCATAGGCTTATGTAGCATTTTGGCATCATTCATTTTAAAGGAAAAGTAAACAGCCCTGATAGTTGGTTTGAAAATTGTGTATTTCTGTATTACTTTTAGTCCTAAATTGCAACTAACCCCAGCGTTTCCAATGTATTCCGCAATATATGATTCTTACGGTTTATTAAGAGTATTGACTGTCAAGAAAGATAGAAACTGTAGCTGTTGATGCAGCAATAGAGCAAAATATGTTTAATCCAGCAAGTATTTTCCATTCATATTCTTATAAATCCCTTTAAAACTCAGGATTTTTTTGTTCACTTGTCCTTGCAAATAGGTTTTCCGTACTTTTGTAGATGGCTCTGAGTATTTGTCATGTTTCTTTTACTGGTACTCTAGGCTGACATTCCCATGTCAGTGAGATTTTTTTCCTTCACATTCTAGCAACTCTTATATTTTGGCTGGAAGCCCTGTGATATAGAAGTATTAAACAGGAAGATGTGTCTTAGAACTAAAGATCGGGGTTCACCTCCTGAATTTTGCAAGTGACATCTCAGGTGACTTTAGGTAAACCACTTAACTCCAGCCTCAGTTATCTGTTGGTAAAATATTATTTTTCCCATTCCTGACTGTATTCACTTAGTCCTAACACTTCTTGTTAGCAGAGACCTTTATTATTTTCAATCCCAATCTCAGTTGTCATTCTCACAATTTCTAGTTTTTGCATGTGTTTTTTTTTAAGTTACAAAAAAAGCTTGGACAATTTATTATAGAAACCATGCATTCTAAAACTGAAAGCAGATTATTCCATTAATTCTGTACATTCTTTAATTTTTGTTATGCCTGTGTCAGCTTCGTTTTTTGTCTCACACTAAGCTACTATATTCTAGCAAAAGCAAAAAAGATAATATGCAGAGAAAATAATTAGAATGCTTCTTTATCTCCACATAAGTCTACTATAGTTGGGTTTTGTTAGGTTTCACACAGAGTAACTTAGTTTAATTTGTCATAATTGTGACCATATTTGAGTTTGTACAGCTGTATTTGCATCAGTTAGCAAGCTAATCCTTACGTAGCTGTAATAGTGGCAAACGGGTGCTCCCTAGGCCCAGATTTCCCACTAGAGTTCCTCTTTTTCTTACCATATTGCTGGTGGAGTTCCATTTGGGACAAGAGGCCACATCCCAGCTCTATCCAGGCGAGCTCTGATACCTGCAGTATTCTTGAGGCTAATGGTGGCTTTTGGACATACCTAAATTCTGCTCCAAGTGTATGCATTGGACCTGAAAACTTAAGAGGATTTGCCTGTACTATGAAGACTTGTTCCATTAAGTAGCCTTACTGGCTGGAATATCATAGTTGAATAATTTTTGTGGGGGTGGGAAGATGGGGTGGAAAAAAGGTGCCATTCTTTATGTATTCAACCTGATCTGTTAAGGAAAACAGATTAGATAGGTAACGCTTTGTGGTGGAGGACTCCAGGAATAGTTGAAAGTAAATACTGAAATGTCTCCTTGAAGATGTTAGCCTAAGGACCAGGCTTGAAAATATTAATGCTGTCATTTTTTGAAACTGCAGTGATGTATACATTGGAATTAATAGGCAGCTAAGCACAAGTTCTGAATATATTTACTCATTCAATATGCCTTACAAGTCAGTATGACTATTACTTGGAACTTTTAGAAGCTTCTACAGCGGTCACCTAATACAAATGAACTCATTTTATGTCTAAACAAAAGTTTAGTGCATTCAAACTATAATCTAAATAATTTCTGTCTAGTAGGGTAGGAAAAAAAAAAATCCTTCCAATTAAATTTTATAATAAATTACATTAATGTTTTCATTTGGGAGGGTTTTGGTTTTTTTTTTTTTTGGAGAGTGTCAAAGTGAAAAGGTATGCTTAACTGTTGTTCTTACCTGTAAGCACCAGAGCCACAAATTAAATAGACCTGTCTGACTATATGCTGTAGATCTACCTGTACTTAAATCTCCCTGACGTGTATATAGTTGCAGAACACAATAAAAATAATCCTCTTTGAAGGGTTGCACTGTTATCTACTGCTATTGTGGAAACACTAGATGTTTCCATAAATTACTGAAATCATGTTCTTATTTTTCAGTTATTATACTATTGTTATATGGTTAATTCCTTGTGATGACTGTTACATTTTGCAAGTCATATTGAAAAAGTTATAGAGCCTTGTAGCTCGTGGTTCTTTTCATCAGGACTTGTGTTGGCAATTGCGATGCTGTCAAACACCCATCTTGCTAATTTGTACTATGCTTGTCTCCTTCCATAAAAGGCTGAGGTATTTAGATTGAGGATTCTTAAAGATACAGTAGCAATTTCAGAAGATATGCAAAAAAAGCAATAATTAACTTTTGTGCCATTTGGAAAGTCTTGCACAAAAGCATTTGTGTGTACATAGAAGTTACCTATTTCTTGCAAGCTTCCACAGAGCAAACGCATCTTAGCGTGCATGTTGAATAAATACTGCATCATTCAGTTTTGAAGAATACTTTTCTGCATGATCACGCATCTTTGTTTTAACTGTCGTAATAATTTTGTATGACAGGGAACAAGGCATCTCTCCTCTGAACTTTAGCTAGCTCAAGCTTAGCAAATGAAAACAGCTTAGAAAAGCCAGTGTCCTAACTGACTAACGTTCTGTAGATCATTAATGTTCTGCTAGCATTTTTTAAAATGCTGTATATTTTTTTGCTAAGTCTGAATGGCATTCAGCAGTGTCAGCTACTCATCCAGTTTCTGTAAAACATGTACCTGACACAAACAAGATAAGCCACAGAGGAATCGTATACAATTTCGAAGCTTTTCCCTTCCATGAAACTTCTTTATTTTTTTTACATTTGCATTGATGGATGGTCCCTAGTATAGAACTGGCATCAATTCTGATGAAAATAATGTTTCTTGGCATTAAACTAATATACCAGTGACAATGAATGTCATTACTGATAGCTGAATAAGTAATTATGTCTATTACTTAAAGGGATGAAAGCAGATTTTCCGTACTTCATCGTTAAAACTGAAACATATCCCACATGAAGTTGAATTCACAGTGGCTCAATTAGTTACAGTAAAGCTGCTTTTGCTTACAGTGGTTATGAAGGACGTGTCTCAGGGGAATTTTCCAAAGTTGAAGAGGTTTTGTTTTTAAATAAAAGTAGTTAAACATTATGGCAACATCGATTTAAATGTAAGCAAATTAAGCCAATAGCCAGGTTTTTCTTATGTGACTTGCTTTTTTTTTTCCCCTCAGGTTTTTAAGATAATACAAACTACATCAGTTAAAGTTATTTCATAGACAAAATTGTCTGCAAGTTTAAGTTCTGCCACACTGCTTGCACCATTATAGGTACTTCATATAGGGAAGGGATTGTTGCCTTGTACTGGAATCATTAAGGAACAATCAGAAATCTTGTCAGGTATTCACATCATCTAACTTAAGCATTTAATTGAGAAGCCTATTTCTCTCTCCTTAGAGAGAATCTAGGCTCCTTATTTAGATAATCTAATTCTCTGGAAGAACATACCTGGCACTACTGACCGCATACAGCCCCTGGGATACCAGTTTAGGCACTTACGTTGCATTTTAAGAAGTCAGACAATATGAATATTCTCTCTTATTCCCTGATCTCAAGTAACAACAACAACAAAAAATTACTATAGGGTGCAAAGCTAAAAATACATTTTGAACCTCAGACACTGGGGTTTTTCCCCCAAAAAAACATGCTTCAGGCATTTCTGTGGCTAAAACGCAAGTACAGAAATCAGTGTTTTGTATATTGATTTTTTCATTTACATTCCTTGCATGAGAAAAATAACCATTTTTTAAAAAAAATTAAAAATGGCAGTGTCTAATCCTATTTTAATTGCAAGCTTAATGTTTCTGAATATCTTGCAAATAAGCTTACTAAAACCTATTACAACAGTTTAATAATACACTTAAGGTCATACATTTCAATGTTTAACTATTTTCATTCTAATAAAAACACTGCATTATATTAATATGAACTTAGTTTCTGTGTCTCTCTTGAGTTAAGGAAATACATTGCATGTCTGGGTGTTTTTCACCTTGATTTGTCCTTCCTGTTTGCTCAAACAGTACGTGCAATGCTTGTGGTCCTAAAAGCTGAGGTTTGTTTATTCTACATTTGAATATAGCTCTCCAGTTGGAGATTTGTATGGTAAGGTACTATCTGTCACAAATGTAGATTTTTTTTCTTTTTTCTATTTATTTTTGAAATGTGCTAAAACTTTCAAAGAAAATACACAAAGCAAAATGAGTTTTAAGATTATATGTCTCAACCAGTGTTAGTTTTAGATATTTAATTTGAACTGCTGCATGTTGCTTCTGTCTTAGAATCACTTCCATTCAGACGGTTTCAGATTCTCAGGATGAGTGTTTTAGTACAGTTTAATAGATGTATCTTAACAGTTTAAATGGCTAATGTAGATGATACACATACCAGTCAGTATGAGATGAAGAACAAGTTGCTAAATTTGGGTTCTTAATGCCATATTTAGCCTCCTAAATAGGTGGCCTGTTTCTTCAGAAGTGCTGAGTGTTTGGCAGCTCATGTTAAACTGAAGACATTGGGAGTATCTAGCTGCTAAGTTCTCTTAGTCTTCAGACTAGTTCAATTGTCCAAACACTGATTTATAACCCAGGCTTTACCAGTTTATTTTTACTAAGGCAATACCTGCAACAGAACAGTGTCTTCAGTATCTTTAATGCGGTAGTTTGATTACCTGCGGCTGATGAAATAACATACGAAACCAGATACTTGTGTCTCAGGACTGTACTGGGGCTATCTCTAACTGGAGAAAACTGTCTGCTGCCATACTTTTAACTTCAGGATCAAGACCTCTGAGTAAATAATATTGGGAGCTGCACAGATGAACGATTCAAAGGAATTAATTAGCGTGAAGTTTGTGGGGCTTACCATACAAATATTTGCATTACTTTTTATGA